TATACACAATGAAATTTACTTAAAAATTTTTTTAGCGTATTTGCTTCAGATAAATTTTAAAGAAATTAAAGTGTAACCGAAGCCATCTTTCACTCCTCTCCAATCCCATTCCCCTCCCTACCTTCCCTCAAATAACTGTGGTTATGAAGTTTGTATGTATACTTCCTGTCCACGTTATTGTTTTGCTATATATATGTGTATCCATAAACAATAGAATATCATTTTATCTGTTTGTTACTCAGCTAGTTAATTAACATTATGTTTCCAAGATTTATTCAATTATATGAAAATTCATAATTTATCCATTCATACTGGTTGATATTTTAGGTTTTTCCAATTTTAATATCCTTACAGCTGCAATGACTATACTTGACATGAGCTTTACATATATATGCATAAAAAGTAGAAAATTATTACAAGTGGATTGAAAGAATTCACCCCAAACTTATAACATGCTGGTTACCCCTGGGTGAGAGTGGGGTAAAGAGGGAAATGGGATTTGAAAGGAGTAATGGAACTGAAAGAGTTATTTTTTCTTTAAAATATAGAATACAAATATGACAATCTGTTAATATATGTTAATTCTGAGTGATAGGAATACAATTTTTTATGTTCATTTTTGTTATTTTCTATTTTTTCCAACATTTATTATGAAATTTTTCAAAAATACAGAAAAGTTGAAAAAACTATGCAGTGAACATCCATGTACCTACCACTTAGAGTCTACAATTAATATTTTACTGTGTTTGCCTTGTCACATAACTATTACTCACTTCCCTCTAATTCATATTATCCATATTAGTTTTCATATATTTCAAAGTAAGTTGCTAACATCAGTACCCTTCACTCCTAAACACTTCAGCATGGATATTATTAACTTGAGTTTAATAATTGCTTAAAGGGTTTTTTAAACCAAAATTTACATATATTAAAATACACAAATCTTAAATGTAACCCAAACCCCTACCAAGTTATAGAATATTGCTATAATCCAGAAACTTTCTTTACATCCCTTCCTGGTCAATACAACTCCCCATTAATCCCACAGAGGTAGTCCTGTTCCGATTTTTCCCCCACCATGGTTTAATTTTGTTTGTTCTAGAACTTCATATAGACGTAATCATACCATATGGGCCTTTTTGTGTCTGGGTTCATTTGCTTAACATTATGGTTTTGAGATTAATCCATGTTGTAGCATATTACAGTAGTTCACTCCTTTTTATTGCTGCGTGATAAACAGATTGTATCACAATTTATTTATTCACTTGTCGATGAATAATTAGGTTGTTTCCAGTTTGGCACTATTGTGAATAAAGTGCTATAAACATTCTTGTGTGTGTCTTTTTGTGGTCATATATGGTTTTTTTTTTTTTTTTGAGACAGAGTCTCGCTCTTTTGCCCGGGCTAGAGTGCCGTGGCGTCATTCTAGCTCACAGCAACCTCAAACTCCCGGGCTCAAGCGATCCTACTGCCTCAGCCTCCCGAGTAGCTGGGACTACAGGCATGCGCCACCATGCCCGGCTAATTTTTTTCTATATATTTTTAGTTATCCAGATCATTTCTTTCTATTTTTAGTAGAGACGGGGTCTCGCTCTTGCTCAGGCTGGTTTCGAACTCCTGAGCTCAAACAATCCGCCCGCCTCGGCCTCCCAGAGAGCTAGGATTACAGGCATGAGCCACCGCGCCCGGCCTTACCACAATTTTTAAAAAGTAACTTCCCTTTTCTTATATGGCATAGCACATCTGTGTGCCCTTACTTGGTTACTCTGGGAACAATATTTCTGAGAGTGAAGCACGGTCTCTGGAATATCTCTCAATAATTATGACTGTTCAGATAATAAACTTTTTCATTGTAATTAGTGTGTTATGCCACAAGATGTCATTATTTAGCTGAAAAACTGTGCCAATTTGGTTCAGTAGTTTAACAATAAGTAATACCTGAGCAACAGACCAGCAACAACAAAAAATATCTATTCCTCCTCATCAGTGTTTCACACATACAAATATGGTTTTCTGGGAAAAAGAGGGTTTCCATCTGTGAAATGTATCAATTAGCTATTCTTTTTTTTTTTTTTGAGACAGAGTCTTGCTTTGTTGCCCAGGCTAGGGTGCCGTGGCGTCAGCCTAGCTCACAGCAACCTCAAACTCCTGGGCTCAAGCAATCCTTCTGCCTCAGCCTCCCGAGTAGCTGGGACTACAGGCACGCGCCACCATGCCCGGCTAATTTTTTCTGTATCTTTTTATTTTTAGTTGTCCAGATCACTTTCCATTTTTTTAGTAGAGACGGGGGGTCTCGCTCTTGCTCAGGCTGGTCTCGAACTCCTGACCTTGAGCGATCCACCCGCCTCGGCCTCCCAGAGTGCTAGGTTTACAGCCGTGAGCCACCACGCCCAGCCAATTAGCTATTCTTATTTATGAAAATTATGCTAATAATTTAACTTCGTAGGTACAAATTGTTTTTTTATTATACATCAAATTGGTGTAATTAAGACATAACTAACTTTGAAAGTAGCAGTAATGAAATACAAAGCCAAAATGTAAAGATCATTGGTCATTGCAAGTCAGATAGATTGTGGCTTTATCACTAAATGATGTGTGACCTTGGGCAAATCATTAAATTTCTCTGATTTTACCAATTCATTAGAGTGGTAAAAACTTCCTTTCTTAGGTCAATATACATTACTATATATTTAATATATACTATCTATATTTAAATACATTCTTCTAATCTATAGTATTTTGGTTTTTATACTAGTAATCAAATTATAATTGTTCCAATACAATGCCAATAGGAGTTCAGTAATAGAAAATATTATCTGCAAGAAGATATTAGGAAATATAATGAGACGTCCTGACATCTTGGGGAAGTATTTTAGAAAAATATTTACTTGTATAAAATAATTATAGTCAGAGGTATAAACTCTTGAAATAAAAAAAATCACATTTATTACTGAGAACATCTTTTAAAAAGATCATGGAATATCCTGATGTTTAAAAAAATAGCTTTACTTAAAGATAAAATTTTCAAGATCCTGAATACATTAATTCTTAACTGTTATACCATTTGAATTGGTAATTTTACCTTTCAACTACTATAATGCAAATAAATAATTTTTTTAAACTTCTAATTTTTAGAAGACACATATTTATAACCGATTTACAATACCTAAAAATAATCAAAAACCCAAATGCCCACCCCTGGGTGAACTTCTGGAGACTATGGTATGTTAATAAACAAGGATATTATATTTTTATTAGTAGTAACAATTATTAGCGTTAAGATTAAGTTATTAGGATACGAAAGACTATTGGAAATGATGAGTGAAAACGTAGGACTCAGAATGATATGAAAAATAGAAAGAATGAAAAAATGTAATTGTGTAAGTTGAGAATATTGATGGTTGTTTTGTTTCCTTTTATTTTATTTAACTCTTAAAACTTAGATCTTTCTGTTTATCTTTTATTTTTCAGATAATTAAGTATGTAAAAAGAAAGAAGAAAGATTTGTTTAAATTTGCATGTTTGTTTTAAACCTTGGGAGCAAAATACAAGACTTACGTTTCCTGATACAGGGCCGCTTCTATCACACATCTAGGGGGAGGGTGTGGAGGGGCGTGGTGGTGGGAAATCTCCCAGTTTGAGAGAAGTCTGGGAGGGGCGTAGAGGGGGAGGCCCCTTCTGTCCCATTGATAACACGTTCATTCACAGAGAGCCCGCTATAACAGCTAATCCCTCGGGCGGTCATTCCCTCTACCCTAATAAGGCTCCCGCACCTCTCCCAGAACTCGGTAAGTTCAAAGTGCAGAAAAGTGCATGTTTCCGAGGAATACTCTGAAGTGATTTTGTAATAGTTTATTGCAGGGCGAAGAAGGCAGGAGGCGAAGGAGCGGGGAATGGTAGTAATTACCGTGCATCGTTCTGCTATGGTGTTTGCAAGAGGAAGAAAATCCCAATGCACAAATGGTTTCAAAGTGATTATTTACAGCAAGCATTTTTCCCCAGGAAAGCTCTTCGGAGGACGCCCTCGCAGGCTGCCGCTGCCCACTAGGGAAAGGGGAGTTCGCAGGTGTCTGGGCGAAGGGCTGCGCCGGGCTCATTGGTAGCCGTCTCTGCCTCTGTTCGCAGGTCCTGGGGATGCTCCTCGCCTGGCTCTGCCTCTACTGAAGGGCCCAGGGGTCCCAGAAGAGCAAAGCGCGGACACCACGGGCCATGAGTCCTCCGAGGCTGCGAACGTCGCTCTCGCTGCTGCTGCTGCTCCTGGGCAGCTGCCTCCTCGCGGCCGCCCGGAGGGACAAGGGGGCGGCTGGCACCGCGGCGGAGCGGGTCCCCGGCCCCGCAGGCGGCTCCTCGGGTCGCTTCAACAGCCCAGAGCAGCACGCGTGCAGCTGGCAGCTCCTGCTGCCCGCCCCAGGGGCCGCAGCGGGCAGCGAGCTGGCGCTGAGCTGCCAGGGCCCGGACGGGGCGCGCCAGCAGTGCGCCTACCGCGGGGAGCCGCAGCGCTGCGCCGCCTACGCCGCTCGCAGCTCGCGCTACTGGAAGCAGGTGCTGGGCGGGCTGCGCAAGAAGCGGCGGCCGTGCCACGACCCCTCGCCGCTCCGGGCCCGCTTGTGTGCCGGCAAGAAGGGCCACGGCGCCGAGCTGCGCCTGGTGTCGCGCGCGTCCCAGCCTGCCCACCCCACCGCCGCGGGCTTCCCCGGGGAGCCCAAGCCCCGGGCCAGGAGCCGGGGGCGGCCCCGGGAGCACGCGGTCGGCCCGGTCCCGATCCCGAGCGCGCGGCCCAAAGGAAAGCCCTCTGAGAGGAAGACCAAAGGGGGCAAGAGGAAAGCGGCCTCGCACCCCCACGAGGAGCGACCTATGGGGACCGGGCCCTACCCCGACGGGCTGGACGAGAACGCGGAGCTCACGCAGACCTACTGCGCAGACAAGTGGCACTCCCTCTGCAACTTCTTTGTCAATTTCTGGAACGGCTGAGGCTGCGGGCCTGGGGAGGGATGAAGGAGGCGTGGGGAAGGGGTGGTCAGCGCAGCGGGGGAGGGGACGCTAAGGGCATCTTGGACCAAGGGATACCGGGTTAGAGAATGGGGAGGGGGAGGAGTCCAGGTTCTAGAATGGGGCGGGGGTGGGGATCGGGGTTTGGAATGAGGGTGTAAGGGGTATGGAGACTCTTTGGAACAGCAGAGAAGTTGAAAATTTTGAAGAGTCTCAACCCTGCTTAAGAGCAGAAGAAAAAATGGAAACAAATAACTATACCTTAAATGTGCAAAAATTGGAGACCGGGGAGAAAAATGGATATAGAGAGAGGCCGAGAATAAGGGGGAAATAGAGTGACTAAAGTGAGGTGAATCTCGTGTGGCGAGCAGGATACAATGTATATTGTTTAACACATTTATATTATATTAAAATGTAATCATGAGCAATTGATAACCTGAGCCAGGTTGAATTGTTCAATGTCTTTTCATCTAACCAGCTGACAAGACTGTAGACTTTTTTTCCCTCTCTGAAATTGGCATGAACTTGGGTGCCACTTGTTGTCATCCATGACCTCTATGGGAGTAGAAGCCTCACAGGTCAAAACTGGCTCCAAGGAAAAATGTTCAGGATGGTTGCCTTTCAATTCTTTTACAAGTGCTACATTTTAACGGAGTGATGCCTAGTGTTCTGAAACTTTTCCATTAACCTTCTAAATTTGGAAGTGAATTGTAGAAGTTGTGTGCGCCAGTAGATTTTTTTAAAAAACAATTCTCTGTGTTCGATCAGATTTTTAAAAACAACTAAAATGTAATACGTATTTCAGAGTCATTTTGACCATTATGGAAATTGTATCTCTCTCTTTCATGTAATTAATTGTTAATGTATTTCATTGTTAATGTGATGTAATAACAGACTTTGCGTTAGGTGCTCAATAAAAACCGTATGGCTAGCTTTAAAGAACTGGCAAGGCAATGGAAATTCTGCCTGCATTTGATCTGCTTCCAAGTACACCTTGAATTACGTTCTTCAACAAATCTTGAATTGCGGGGAAAAGACAGAAACTAAGTTGTCGATATAAGGCAAGAGTCACAAACTGGCAGCCCCTGGGCCCTGTCATTGTTCTGTTTGGCCTGCATAGGATTCTCTTTATTTTTTTCCTCTCTCTGCCTCCCCCTCTTCCTTTCTTCCAAATCAGATTAGTCATCAGTATTTAAAAATAAGATAATTTCTTATAAAAAATCAAGATTTCTGGTTCTCTTGAAAAATTAGAAGATCTGGCAACACTGGGTCCACCTTCCCACGTGGCATCAATTGGCTGCCTCCCTTTCAATTAGGCATGTTTTCTAGAGAGTTCTTCATTGCTCCTACACATCTTATCAGTCAGCTTTATTAGTTTATTTTACTGTTCTGAGCCCATTAGACATTTAAGCCACCCCCAGGTATGAAGTTTTTACCTTTTTGCTGACTTCCTGTTCTTTCCCCTATCCCTTTTAAAATAGTGGTAAATGCAACAATCTTACAAATACTGATCATCTCCTGACTTTTTCCTCTTTGACCTGCCTCCAGGAAATGTAAAATATTTCATAATTTCTGTACATTCTTGTAGTCACACCATTGTCAAAACATTCAGCTTGAACACAGTTTCAGACGAGATTTATGAAGTCACATTCTTTTTTGTTTTTGGAAATATATATGCTTTATTATTAGACGAGATGAAATGTGTTGAAATGGAAAATTGAAAATAATTGGGGAAAAAGCAGGTAATAGTATGCATCATGTGCTCTCATTTTGTGGAAAGAAGAAAAATACAAATAACATTCTGAAAGGATAAGTACTAGCCTTAGCACTGCTATTTACTGAATGGTGGGAATACTTTTTTATTCTCTCTCTCTTTTTTTTTTT